TTAATGTTTATTTGTAACAAAACATTTAAAACGAGGGATATCTTTTCCTCTCTGTGAAGGTGCAGCCCTTTCGCGTTTGTTTAGGTGAAAGAAAAGCTATCATCATATGTGTGGTACAATAGAAAAAGACATAAAACGTCACTAAAGAACAATGTGCAAGCCAGTGGACCAATTTACATGTTTACATGTTCAAATCAATCTCAAAAAGGCTTGCCAATAATGGTCTGGAACATGTTTTACTCAGATTAAGCTTAAGTTAGGTTAGGTTGGGCCAATATGACTATAATTTCTCATTATCTTGATAAATTATGTGACTATGCTTTTCTAAGCATATCATGGACATCGTCAGTACTTACAGAACACTGACTGCATGTTTTATTACAAATGCAGGAGAATTAGTCCTGTTTCATTGGATTAAGTACAGTACAGTCTGTGAAACACATTAATTTTATGAATAAAAATTAATTGTAGTTGTGGTTTTATTATAGTATTTTTATATGTGGCACTACATTTTCTATTCTGTCTGTTCTAATTCATCAAAGCTCAAAAAAAAACAAAAAAAACAATAAAGTGATGCATACTATGTATCATGAAGTCTCAAAATATTGTGATAATGTTTTTGCCATATCTCCAGCCTTAGCTTAAGTTAACCAAGACCATAGATGAACCATGACAAATAAAATGTACTGTTTACATCAAAAATCAAGAACAAATTAATTTAAGAACATTCAGAATTGTTTTTAGAGTCTTTTACTGTTTTGTTTTAATGGGTTAGCACCTTCATACATTTCAGAATGCCTGACAGAATATATTCCAGATCAGGTCTTTAGATCAGTTGCTGCTTTACTGAATGTTCCCAGAATGAAGCATAAAAAGACTGGTGAACGTTATTATTGTTATTATTATTGTTATTATTATTTTAATCATCATCATCATCAAATACAGGTTTAACTAGCAGTTTAAGATAAACTAAAAGCCTGAGTTAGACTAGTACCGAACCACTGATCTGTGTGTAAACACAAAGTTATTGAAATGCCTGGAAGTTCAGCCTCTTGTTCAGTCTCTGTCTCCTGCACTGTTCAAACATCACTGACTCTCAACTACTGTCTAGAAAAGGCTCAGCTCACATGTCGTCCAGCAAAAATGTAGCAATACACAATCTAAGCTGTAATTTACTAACCATAACAAATGCACTGCACCAAGAACCCTAACTATTTTAAGGCACAGGACACCACAAGTGCTTTAAAACTCCTAACCTACACATTTCTCTAAATGCCATTCTCTTCTACGACAATTCCCATCCAGTCCTCCATCTAACTCTCCACAGCACTCAGACAATCAATATTGACCCAGAAAGTCTCACACCAGGATACCATGTGTACATTAACTGTGAACTGATTCAGGAACAGTGAAATGCCAGCAGCATTTGCAATGCAGTCCTTTTTCCAAAATCACAGACATCAGTACAACAAAGCAAGTGTCGTAAGATCTGTGCATGAACGGAAAAGGCTAGAACTCAAACAGACATCTTTGTGTTATCTTCAACAAAGTGCTATTCTGCAGTGCATAAGGCCAATTCACCACAGCTAATGCCCGCCCCATAACTTGCCAGAATCAACATCAGCAATTAGGTAACAGGAAGTAGAAAACAATGATGAATCCACAATGTTTTATGATGCCAAATTTCTGCACTAATCCTAATTTGACAGTCAAAAATTTAAAAGTATTTTTTTTTATTTAAAGCGTTTTAATTCATTTTATTTTTACTGTTAGTGCTACTCTTAATTCTGATCACAGGGCAAGTAAGGACATCAACAATTCTAACTAAATTCAACCCTTTTACCTGTTAATGATGCCATGAATTACACAGAGCACTCTGCCCACTCATTTCTAAGGAGTTTCATGGTAAATCAGTCTCACTTCATGTTTAAAAATACCACTTCTCAAATTACATCAAGCACAAACTAAGCCGAACGCAAAGAACAGTGATGACTCAAGTACACTTTGACATCACCAGTTGCTAAAATAGATAGAAGAGCAAGCCTACGACAGCCAGCAGACTAGTACTCAAGACAAATGTTAACAGCTGTGTTGTGTCTCTCTGTGCCTCAGTAAAATACTTGAAGGATTTCATTGCAAAATGCTGCATATCTATTTGTAACAATTTTTAACACAAGTTTTAGGAAGAATATAACAGCTGATGTATAACAGAAAACATTTTTGGAAAATAATGAAAACACAGCATTGATTGAAATCCCAAAAACACATCCCTGAGGGTGGTCTACATCGCATTTGGAACAAAACCCCTCACTTCTATCATGACACTTGGCAGGTTTTTTTTTTTTAATAGCAAACACCATCAAAACTGTAAACCATAACTGCTTTCATGCCATTTAAGAGAAACACCAGGGCCCATATTCATGAATATTCAAGGTATTTATAAAGCTTCTCAAAGAAGGAGTGCTGATCTAGAATCAGATTCCTCCCTTATTTATGGTTACCTTACTGACTGGAACAGATCCCAGATCAGCACTCCTACCCTCATAAGTTCTACGAAAATCAGCCCAGGTCCCATCAGTTCATAAGGTCTAATTCAGTGTAATATGAAATGGCATAGATTGACTCCAGATCAGCAATCTTACTTAAGTTTGATAAAGATGGGCCCTAATCCATTATATATTGGAGAATTAAAATGGTTTAAAAGAGCAATACCACCTTGGAGGCATTCAGCTCTGCTACCATAAAATGCCCAGATCAATTTGATTATGGGCAACTATCCACATACTATTATTCACCCATGGTTTCCTTGCAGAAAATACAGTAACTCAATAAGTAATGTAATGTGATGTGATTCTAAACTTCGCCTCTGGCAACCGAATGATAATATGAAAACAAGCCCACACACATTTTCTATTTCCTTGTAGCATTCTATAACATGACACCTTCCAACCTCTCTTTGCTTTTTCTCCTAAATTTACTCTGTATTCTACCTTAGCTTAGGGCTCGATGAATCAGTCTGAAGGGCAAATTACCAGACTATGGGCAATCAAACTTTCTGCAAAGAAGGGCCACACAGAGACATGACATAGAGCCATACACTAAAATATCTAAATTTAAAGGGGAATTTCATTGATTCTGAACTAAATTAAGCAGTAAACAGTCATTAAAAGTGGCTTGGAATGAGAAACTTAAAGTTGCAATGAGCTGCCTAAGACCCAAAACATAGTTTCACTATAGTTTTGCAATAAGGTTTTAGTTTAAATACATTTTTTAAAATATATGCAATGGTTTGCAAAAAATACTTTAAGAAAGCTTTACCACTACTTTACCATCATCACCACTCATAAAAACTCAGAAGACATGTAGGCTCACTGGTCATTTTGATAGCAAAGAAAACAACTATACATTTGCATTGTGCACACTGGGTGTTCTGGTTCCTGTTATCACCATTATAAATAAATCTGTTCCATTTTTATATAATGTATGATTTCACATCAGCCCACTCTGAATTACTTTTACATCTCAAGGACTAGACTGCTAATCTTTCTTAAAGAATCGGCATAAACCTTCTATAAAAAACTCTGCAATATGAACTAGACTCTACAGTGTCTATACTGTTTATGTGGTGAAAAACAACTTGTTTGTTGACTTTGAAGTTATATCAGGCAAAATTAGGTTTGAAGATGTTAGACACACTCGTTCCTTGTAAGAAAAGAAACAGTATACCCTAGGTTCTGTTTAAAAGCTTGGCATTGTAACAACAGAAGAACCCTTTTTGGTGCTATACAGAAACATTTACATAAAGTTTCTATATAGAACCATTTCACAACACATTCTCCAGCAATCTGAAGAACCATTTCACCATGAAAATAACCGTTTAAGCATGAAATGGTTCTGCACAGAACCCATGGTCCTAAATAGAATCAGTCCCTGTACTAAAGAAATGTTGAAGAAACATCTTCATACATATGAGGTGCGAAAACGTGTTGCATCAATGCGAAATACTTAACGTTAAGCCAAATCCAGAACTGCCCGTCAAACAGGGCCCAAACACCCAAAACCTCTCCCTTCGCAAAGCCGACAGACACGTTAAACATCGTGGTGTCGCTTAGTTTGACAGGCTCGGACATGAGCTGCTGTAAACGCCAGAGCTGCGTTAGCTTAGCTTCGCTTCGCGTATCTTGATTCGTTAGCTAGTTGGGCTAGTCAGTTAGCTAATATTTTAAAGATAATTATCTAAGATAATTGTGCTCCACCTTTACAAAGCTCCGTTAGCCTGATAACTCAGCTGACCTTAGACTGAGCGACAAAACAAAGTTAGTTTAGACAGATTTTCCCCACGAGAACAAGACAGTCAAATCATTTGGCTGGAGCTAATACTGGCCACAGCCTAAAACGTCACTCCTTTAGCTCCCATTAAGGGCAAATAAAGTACACACTTCAGCAAAGCACTCGTGTTTAACAGTTCAACACAAATTAACAGACAGAAACCTAGACAGATAAACAGGGAGACAAACAGACAGATGTAACCAAGCATAAGGTGACAGGTGGTCAAAAACAGGGACACCATTTTTCCCATTATTTCTGTGAAGAGGTCTGCCACACTAAAAACGGATTTATTCAATAAACAACGTAGCTAACCTATACGTTTTAGACTTCAGACTACTAGCTAAGTCTTCCTATTTCGTAAAAATGTTACCAACGCATCCCTCACATTTAGGCTACATCTCGGACTGTCCAGCGTTTAATTGAATATTTTTCAAATAAAGTTGTGGTGCTAACGTTACACACCGTTAGCTAGCTCGGTCGGTCGGTCGGCTACATCGTCACTTCAGACTGGCGTAAACAAAACATTAGCGGCCACTGAGACAACTATTAGGGGAACTTACGGTCCACAAAGTCCAAATAAAACAGCTCAACAAAAATAAGCAGCAGTTTGGCGACCTATCTAGCGAGTTTACCACCAACCCAGGAGCCTCGGCCGGGAAAAGTGGTCTTACCGGCCCGGGTCGTGTCGGTTAGGTCGTGGTTGGCGGCGCTCCGCGGAAACTCCTTCAGCTTCCTGCCGCTGAGATTCAGGCACCCGGTGGCCGCGGCCTCGTCAAGAGCTCGGTCCAGCGACCGATTCCAAGACGCGGGTCCCGGTGCAGATAAGCCGTTGGCGGCGGCCCCTGCCGCACCGGGATTACCGACAGCGAAAGTGGGCACGGTGCTTTCCGCAGAGAGCAACACCGAGGCCGCCATTACACAGCAAACTCCCACTAATCCTCCCCGCCTGTCCCACCGGTCACTAAAGCGCTAGTGCGCAGGCGCGGGGGAGCATATAGGTCCAACCACTCTTCCCGCAAATGGGATTCCTGTGGAAAGCCGTTTTCACTATGAATTTGTAATTTTTATATAAAAGATTTACTTTGATCAAATGAAATTATATTAGTAGTAGCAGTAATAGTAGTAAAATTTAATTCTAATGTCGAATTCAACATTTACTAGTATTCTACTACTATACATTTACTACACATTTACTATGTACGGAAGTCCGGAGGCCATGAGCTTTTGCTGTGATTTTCTGAACTGTTATCTTGAGATAACAAGATGAGTTACTCGTTATTTCAAGAAAACAATTTTGTTATCTTGAGATAACAGATAATTAACTTGTTATCTTAAAATAACAATCCCAAAAATGATTACTACCTTGTGGCCTCTCTGGACTTCTATAGAAATGCACTGATCAGTCATAACATCAAAACCACCTGCTTGTTTTAAACTCATTGTCCATTTTATCAGCTCCACTTACCACATAGATGTGCTTTGTAGTTCTACAGTTACTGTAGTCCATCTGTTGCTCTGCATATTTTGTTTGCCCCTTTTTGCCCTTTTTCTTCAGAACCCCCACAGGACCACCACAGAACAAGTATTATTTGGGTGGCGGATCATACTCAGTGCTGTAGGGACACTGACATGGTGGTGTTGTGTTAGTGTGTGTTGTGCTCATACGAGTGGATCAGACACAGCAGTGCTGCTGGAGTTTTTAAACACCTCAGTGTCACTGCTGGACTAAGAATAGTCCACCAACCAAAAATATCCAGCCAACAGTGTCCTGTGGGCAGCGTCCTGTGACCACTGATGAAGGACTAGAGGATGACCAACACAAACTGTGCAGCAACAGATGAGCTATCGTCTCTGACTTTACAAGGTAGGAGTATCTAATAGAGCGGACAGTGAGCGGACACAGTGTTTAAAAACTCCAGCAGCACTGCTGTGTCTGATCCACTCATACCAGCACAACACACACTAACACAACACCACCATGTCAGTGTCACTGCAGTGCTGAGAATGATCCACCACCCAAACAATACCTGTTCTGTGGTGGTGTTCTGGGGGTCCTGACCAATGAAGAACAGAGGCCGAACGAAGTATGCAGAACAGCAGATGGACTACAGTCTATAATTGTAGAACTACAAAGTGCACCTACATGGTAAGTGGAGCTGATTAAAAATGGGCAATGAGTACAGAAACAAGGAGGTGGTTTTAATGTTATGGCTTATAAGTGTGTATTTTTGCAAGACAGCACTAACTAGAAAGAATTCATGGTTTTTCCCAGTTGATGAATTGCATAGATTCCCACCTGTTAGAGCTTCCTAAAAATCCAAAGACAGTGAATTTGCTGAACTCTGTAAGCCTAAATAGATAACAGCAAATTCATAATGATGTTAATGATATTCATACTCTTGAACTGCTAGCCCCAAGATCATCATTCTAGTGCTGATTTATCGTCTCTGCTCTTTTTCTCCTTATCTACACAATCATCATTTTAACATCAGTCATTTCAAAGCAATCATTCTTTCTTTTGTTTAGCTCTGACTATCTCTAACTTCCCCACCCAGCTCATCCCTTTGTCCATCTCTTCATCTGTCACTGCCCAGCTTCTGTTTACCCCATGAAGCCTTGATATGGGCATCATCCGCTGCAGATTTGGGTCAGGCCTTCTTCTTGGCCTATCTAGATTTAAATAGCTCATTCTGCAACATTTCCTGCTGACTAGCCTGGCTCATTTCACTGGGGAGGAGTTCCCAAAGTTCATCAGTGAAAAACAAAGAAGCATAAATAAAACATTATAGTTTGATCTTCTTGCAAGAAGAGAAACTATCCAGTTTTTTATAATCACAAGATCAACTATTTCACTTAGTTCCTCACATCTAGCAGAGCATTATTCAACTAGCCTACTTCTGTCAATTCTGATTCCATTTCTAAAGCCATTTCTATTCACCCCAATAATCTAATAATAGACCACATACTCCTGAATATAAAATAAAGAGCAACAAGTCCCCCAGACAAATTGAGTTCTGTACGTCTGCGCTGATTAAAGTTAATTCCAGTAGGTAATCTGGCGATTAGCTACAGGCCTGCTTTTGTGATTTATGCTGACTGACATCAACCCCACATTCTTAGATCTTCCTTTCATGCTTCACCCTGTTCATACTCACTGGATAATAAATCAGTGCTAAGGATGCAAACGACAAATGTAATCCACATCTTTGTAATTCAGCTACTGATATCCTCTCTGATCCGGATTTACGTTCTCAGTGAAACTCAGAGGGGTGATGTCTGCTGCCACTGATGTGCACGTATGTAAAAACTCTACATGGGGTTTAACTCCACTCTTTGTATAATTCAATCATTAAAATGTAAACAAAGTCATCCAGAGTGGTTAATCTGAAATGCACCATTTTAGAGACCGAGTCAGAATTATTCAGTGTTGTTGATAGGATCCAGACGTCTAAAGATGTCTACTTAAAGGGGAATTCCACCGATTTTTAAACATTTTTGAATAATGACATTATAAGGATATAAACACAGTAATTCCGAGTGGTTTGATGTAAAATGCTCTATTCTAGAGAAACTTGCAAAGTCAGAACTGTTCACAGTGCTGGTGATAGGAACCAGATGTCTGAAGAGTTTAATGCTTCCAAAAGCTCCCTGACTGAAAGTTATTACATGAAATGGTTATGAATAGGATGCCTGATGTCTGTGACATGTTTTATGATAGCTCTGGGATAGTTTTGGCCTAAAATGTATTTTTTTAAATATATTCATGGTGGAGAGATACATGCAGGGAGTTGCAAGAAAAAACAATCCCCAAGGAGAACTTTTCAGATTTGCCACTATTTTAAGATCATCAGTATTACATAAAAAACTCAGAAGACACGTGTAGGTTCACTGGTGGTTTTGCATAAAAAATAAAATGGCTGTATTTGTGCTGTAGACATCACAAACCCTGGTTCCTGTCACCACCACTGTAAAGAAATCAGAGTCCGTATGTTTCTCTATGATGATTTTATTGTGCTGAATTTTGAAAATCTGTGGAATTCCCCTTTCAATGTGACTAAAATCTCCAGGATATGGGCCTTTAATGTTTCTAAAAGCTACCTTGCAGAAAGCTATTACGTTATATTGTTCTGAATATGTTGCTTGACTCTTCAAACACTGTTTCATATTAGTTTTGAGATTAAGTTTTAAACTAAAATATAGTTTTAAAGTACATACCCAGCAGAAACCTTTTTTTTATTTACTCTAATGCTTTACCATTATCAACATCACATGTAAAACTAGAAGATGTAGACTTTGCGACCCCACCACTGTACAGAAATCACATTCAGCAGGTTTCTCTATAATGCACCATTTAACGGCAAACTACTCTGCAAGACCTTGTTTACATCTCAATTACTGAGTAATGCACAGTATTTTAAAAATCTGTAAAGGTTCCCTTTAATTGCATGACTTAGTACCTCAGATGTTAATGCCAGAGTTAAGACCTGTCAACATCATTTTATATATGTATGTAATTTGGAGTTTTCCTGGTTGAATGTCGAAGACTGAAACTTTTCTCTCCATAATTTCCCAAAATCTCACTGTGAGTCAAAATTGGCTTTTTACAAATAATGCAAACATAAACACACTTTTAAGACAAATGGTTCGTCCCGTCCTTTATTGTGTGCTATCGCTTTCAAAGCTTTGTTTGTTTTAGCAACGTAACAGGTTAGCAACGTAACAGGTCCTTCTACTATTTTTCAGTTTTATTCTGAAAGTTCAGCAGTGTGCTCCCACTTTGTTGTTTGATTGTGATTTTAAGTAAGTTTCTCTAAGCAACTGGCTAAGAGATGAAGGAAATGACTGGAGGACACAGTTCTACTGTTTATATAGTTAGGTTTTGGACTCTTGTCAAGTCATTACCACTTAAAGTGAAAAGAGATAGTCTGGCATGACACACATTTCTCTCAGCAGAGGGCACTAAAGTAACACAGAGTCAGCGTTCTGATTTTGCATAGTTTTACTATTTGCTGTAGGGGTCACTATTGTCACGTTTTGTGCTCTCTCTCTCTCTCGCTCTCTCTCTCTCTCTCTCTCTCGCTCTCTCTCTCGCTCTCTCTCTCTCTCTCTCTCTCTCTCTCTCTCTCTCTCGCTCTCTCTCTCTCTCTCTCTCTCTCTCTCTCTCTCTCTCTCTCTCTCTATCTCTCACTCTCTCTCGGGCTGGGTCCAAAACCACATACTACCATGTTATATGTACTGTACTAATGAATGCATTCCTAACGGTAGTGTATTATCTTGGCATATTATTTAGTATGGTAGTATTCAGTTTGGATGGAGCTTATCTCTCACACACACGCATACAGAGATGTGGGGGTCAGATAAATATATATAGAATATAAGTATATAATATGTAATATAAGAATATGTATAAGTAGAATCTCCTAAATATTTACATAGATTTTTTAGTATTTCGTATGTCCTTCTTGCTTTCATGACAGTGTCCACTCGAGCTGGTGTGGTTTCCACAACTTTACACAACAAAAACCTCTGATGAGTAGATTAAATACACCATTACATGGTCTGAACATGAGCTTCAGTGGAAGAGATAAGACTAAAGGAACACCTGATCTTATTTTCCAAAGGTGTCAACATGATTTAGTGTCAGATTTGCACTGAATTTAAATTTGAGAATCTTAAATATTTCTTCTTTGTTTTACTTGTCATAACATTTCCTTGTTTAAAATCTATAAATATTTAAATGAAAAAAAAACAAAAATTAATAGAGTTTTGGACCCCACTAAGTGTACACATACAGTTGTATCCAGAAGTTTGAAGACTCCTGGTCAAATGACATGAAAATGCATTAACACATCCTCTACAGAAAACATAAATATAGAAAAACTTTATTTAATTGCAGAGTTTAACGTAAAAATAAATAATAAAATATAACTTGTGCTATAACTTTTG